CATTTCTCATCTTTGTGTCACTGATCCCAGCTAACATAAGAGATTGTCTTCCAACTCCACAGATGCTTGGTTTTGGATTGATTCCTGACTTTCTCTAAAAATGTTTGCCATATCAATTACTGCAAACTCTGTAGCTGAGTTGGTTTATTTCTTTTATTACTCATTGCTTTGAGAAATAATTGTCTACTTTCCACCACATTATTATTATTTTTTTTTTTACTTCCATACCAAGTATTATATCAAGTAGCTCTGCATTGCAGTTCCACTGCATATCTGCTGAAGGGGCAAAATTAATTCACGGCATTCATTAAGACCTCTGGGGTAGTTTTAGGTCACAGCCTTGTTTTAGGTGTTTCTTAGAAACTAAAGCAAAACAATAGTATATGCCTCTTTTTTAAAGTTCACTTACACAGGGCTTTAGCAATCCTTGCAGCTTCCAACAGAAATGTTGATATATTTGGCTTTGGCAGTCGCTGCACCCTGTCCTCAAGTAACTTCATTCACTCCCTATCCATTTTCATACCGAGTTCAAAATCCTCGTGTTAACTTTCAAAGCCCTTCTAACAGGTTCTTCTCCTTCACCCTTTGTACACTTTTTTTTAAAAAAAATCTTTCTTCTCTATATCATATAGCCATCTGTCCACCATGGGGCTCAGGTCCTTCAGATGCGCTGCTCTTTGAGTCTGGATTAGATTCTCAAACCACATCATCAGACACTCTTTCAAATCCGTCAAAAGTCACTTGTGTACTTGACTTAGCACAAATATTTATTTGTATTTCATATGTTGTTGTCCATGCAGGACGTTTTCAATATTTGGTAATGATGTGTTTTTATGCTGTTGAAGTAAAGCGAACTTCAGAGTGTTGAAAGGCGATTATAAATAAATGGGCATGGAACTTTGTATAATTTGGACATATTGGGCTAAATAAAACTTTAAAATGTTTTGTTAGTTATTTTTGATCCACTTAGTTACTCAACCTACTAGATTATCTAGATTCTCAGAGACCTTTAGTGACATCTTCATTTGAACAGGTGAAAAATCCAAGCATTTTCTTATATTTAATTTTGTACCAAATGCTTCTATTAAACAGTTAATTGTTTGCTAAAGCTCCTACATCCATCTTCTTTACCCCTCATTGCGTTTATACCCCTCACTGGGGTATAGAAGATGGGCTTAATATTGGTTTAATGCTGTGCACATGATGCAACCAGTTCATTTTGCTTTTTGTTTCTTTTGTTTTTCTCTGAAAAGATTTGTTTTTCAGTCGAGTTGTTTAGGATGTCACAACTTTTTAACCAAATTTCAAAGCTATTTTTAATGTTTAACTCGCAAAGTCGTGGCTTTTTAATATGAGTGTTTGCCTTCGACAGTCACTGTAGGTGCTGAAGGAAACAGCATTTTTTCTGGCTGACAATTTTCTGAGACTGTAATTGAATTTCTTCAAGATGCTTTAGTTTAGTTACCAGAGAGAGTAACACAGCTCGGGGATTTGCAATGTGTCAGGGCAGAGCACTGTGCTGGGCTCAAAGCACATGAATATTAACACTTTCGTCTTTATAGCCATTTCTTTTTAAATATAATAAAATAATTAGACTTTGTCCTAGAAATGTAGTCAGTTTGTTAACCAGAAACTATTTGACTATGGAGTTTAGTCATGAAATGCAACCGAATACAGCTTCTCCTCAGAGAAAAGACTTGCCTTGTTGCGTCTTTCATACTCCATTGTTTCAGCCCCGACGCATGTCCTCAGACATGGACATAGTCAAAAATCATAGCTCTTAATGAAAACAATGTGAACGCAGGTAATACATCACCTGGTCTACGATCAGCACTGGCTGTGCCTCCTACAAAAATGATCACTAATTCAGTTTTCTGCTACAGAATCCTTCCTGACTTTCACATGAATACCACTTTGATCCTTTTGATGGGGGCGGTCTATGTTTCTAATAAAGCTGAAGAATTATGTGTTGTGCCACACATTGTGTGTTGGGTTTGACTTTAACACATTATATTTGATTATTTAATTACATGTATTTTATAGTGTTGAACATTTAATGCAATTAATCGCTTTATTTTTAATCATACAAAAGTACCTTTGCTGTGCGTTTCTGGAGTGATGCCCCAATGGGGGTTCACCTTTGCTACACTGGAAAAATTAATGTTTATTTTGTTGACATATGATTTTCAAATATATTGGGTTTTGTTTGTCTATAATTAGTCAATACGCTTTGACTAATGTTAGACCCTGTGATTAGTGTTATTCAAAATGTTAATTGAGTTCCCCCTTTAGAACAATTACATCAGTGTTTGATCCATGCATACCTTTGGTTCTGAGCGTTTAGTTTCTCTCTCACCAGGCAGCAGCCTCTGCCGTCCATCCAGAAAATTGTCCTGTGCGCAGTGTTTGATAGTGTTTGGTATTCTGTCAAAGGAATGAGAGCATAAAAAGTAAACGAAATGTAAAGACTCCAAGTCAGGCTACAAGCATGCAGATGAAAAATGAATATTTGACAGACCACTAGTTTTAAGAAAAGTACATCTTTATGTAATTCCCTAACGCTACATACAAAACAAATGTCTTCAAAAACATCTTTTCAAATCCTTATGAATATTTAGCTATCCATAAGAGGTAACAGAAGCAGTTTTGTTTCTTCAAAACCTGAATCATCACCTGCTGCGAAACAGATATTAAATACTATACCGTCCACATTTTTAAAATGTCCAATAAATATTAAAGACTGGGCAATGTAGAGAGTTTCCTTCTGCTGTAACACATCCAGAGAAGCTGGAGAACATAAATAATGAAAATATACACATATCTCACTTATCTAGGTTATCCTACATCAGTATTACTCTAAAAGAAGGATAATTGCACTTTAAAATAACATGGGCTAAGTGGTAAGGAATAATGAGTTGGATGCAATTACATTTTGCTATGTCTACTATATCTAATCAAGACAAAGTGGCACCATCAAAATATTAAATGTTTTTTATCCATTTCAGAAATATCTGGTGTTAATATTATTCCTTAATTAGTCTGGCTGACATCCATTCTGACACATAGTTGTAGGAAAGGTGGATAATTTGCCAACAACTGTGAAATGTGCCACAATTGTAGTTTAGCTTCAAGCAACAGATCAATAAATAAGTAAACAGGTGTGTGCCCTAAAAATAAAATCTGTAGAAATGCATCATTTACTTCCTACAACGTCAACAAATTGGTAAAGTGGCGCTGGCAGGCAACAAGACATATGGATTTGATTTATTGGTGTAAAAGTTTTCAGCGCATGTCAGTTGTTAATGTCATCTTGTAGCTCTTAGCTGGGATAAGATGACATAGCATACTCCCAGGAACTGAAGAGTGAAGAGACACAATTAACTTTCAAGCGATGTCAACAGTAAAAACTGATTGAATTCAACAGTTTACTTAAAATGGGTTATTTGAGGTGATTTTGTTGGATTTGAGCAAATTAAGCAGGATATGTCATTTATAAATCTCACTATAGCTTGAATATAATATCTCGTTTTAACATGCTGAGTGTTTTTAAATGGATTCACAGCTGTGTTGACATCAGCATGGGGTCGTTCTGTTGTAATGTAGTGAAAAGATGTGCTTTCAGTTATTGTGTCTGGTCGAATAGGCCAGAGTTGTGATGATGACACAGACAACACTGGTAGATTTATAACTCATGGGTTATGTTTCTTCTCTCTCTGCACCGTCTGTAGCGTCAGCTCCACGATGTGGTACGAGTTGGAAAATGTTGTGCCTAACACAACGCCTCATTTTAGAGACGAGCGTCTTAAAACAAAGTAAAACAAAATTTTAGCAGGAGATATTTTTATGTTCAGTGCATAAATATATTGGCAAGGCTTTAGCTATAGAGTATTTATAAATTTGATTACATTTTGTGCATAACATAATAATTGTTTTATCTGATTCCAGTTAAGTGGTTGCTTTGTTCACATCTTTCCCACAGTCATCAACATCTTTGCAGTGTTTCACTTGTGACTAAAACACATCTCCTGCAATGAAAGTATCCATGACACTCTAAAAAGATGTTTTGTAGATATTTGTTAAAACTGTCACTAACAGTTTAATATGAGACAGATAATATTTGGAAAAAAAAACCCATCTGGTTCCCCTCCCTTCCCTGTTCCTGTGCTCCCTGGAATCTGCAGAAATGCATCGCTTGGTTAGAAACAACCAATCAGAAGTTGTGTATGTGCTGCTCTGCTGCACCACATCTCCTTCACCACCGTGGAGCCTGCTGTGAGTGTGCAGGGTAGTAAGCACGGCCACCGATTGCGACAGACAAACAGTTTTCCTGTATCAGTCAGTTGTTTTTCCACCATTAGTTGCAGCAAACTGGCAATCTTAAGCAGTGCATACACAAGCATGATTGACATTGCAAAGTCCTTCCTCCTGGTGATTGGTTGTTTCTGATGCGGAGCCGTGCATTTCTGTAGTTGGCGGCAGGACGACTGAGAGGAGGCACAAGAACTTGATTTTTTTTTCCAGATTGTCTGTCTCTTATTTTACTGCCACGGCAATATAATAAGAATATGACATACTTTTATTATTTCAGCAAGCATAATTAACTTCCTTAAACACTTATACATACTGCAGCTTAATTTCTCTAAGGGCAAGAGCATTCTATGAAAACCTTTTTGTTTTAGTTTTGTTTATTTCAGTATAATAGTCACAGCTGGCATTGAAAATGACCTTTTATAATCTGTTTTGGATGGTCTAGTTGCTCCAGTGTGAATTACTTATCATTACTAAAGGTCTAGTTATGATTCAAGCTGGTTGAGTCATAGCAAGTTCAATATGTGCCTCAAACGACATTTATTTCATGCAGTTTTAAGTGTAAACACTTTTAACACCTAATGGAAATCAGTAAATAGGAACTCTGAAATGTCTTCGATAAAAGCCGGGTAATAGTAAAAAGAACGGATGATTAATCTTTCTTTTGTTTTCTTTTTCTCTTGTCTCTGCAGAAATGTTTGAAATTCAACGTGGATGCACCAATCTGGCTGTCCAAGCAACGGATCCTGTGTACCCTCAACCAGAGCCTGAAGGATGTGCTCAACTATGGCCTATTCCAGCCGGCTTACAATGGCAAGGCCGGCAAGTTTCTGGATGAGGAGAGACAGCTTAGGGAATACCCTTTCCCATCCATTGCTCCTGTACCGTACCTAGAGGTAGGTGCTGATCATGTGTATGCATGAAACACTGTGGGCCGTGAGCAGAAGAGAGCTAAGGAAAGGAAAAGTAAGGGGTGCACATCACTGTATCATGCATTTCTCTCATGCTCCCAATCAGGATTGTCAATTCTGAAAAATCTCAATTAGTTTTGAACCCCCGCCCCCATCTTTAATTATGTTTTTTAATGTTTAACTTAAATTAAAAAAAAGCTTTTTTCTGCTCAACTTGTTGCTTAAAAAAAGCAGATATTTAAATTTTCTTCAAATGCATCCAATTGACTGCAAGACCTTTGAAACCTTGATTAACGATAGATCCACAATTATTCAACCTCACTATTTCAAATCATGTCTTTTTTCATGTCCCTTATCCATAACACATACAGGGGATTTTAAGTATATAAGCCACTGTTTAAATGCCAAACTTGTACGAATATAAGATAAAAACAAATCTAAGCTTTAATCTCTTCAATGTGTCCTATAATCTATACAGAGAAATGGAAAAATAAGCAGATTTGTTTGAGAGAAAAACTAAAGAAGACACAACAGCCTGGTAGCATAAGTTTGCACACTCTTAAAGTAAACCTTCAGTTTCAGCCTCCAGTCTTCTTTGTCAGGAGTCTGTTAGCATCCTAAGTCTTGGCTTTGCAATATTTATTTATATACTATGTCCCACAAAGGTTCTCTACATATATCAGCCTTCTTCAGGTAAACTCTCACATTTTCTGTCAAAATTTAGTTCTGTACTGTGGCAAAGCTATTCCAGCACTGACATTTTCTTCTGGTTGAAGCTATTTTTTATATGCTTTATGTTAAATAAATAGGGTCCATTTTTATTTTTGGCTTTCTAGCAGACAACTGAGGATGTGTCATTGTTTGAAAAGATAGTTATTGTTCAGTGTATAAACGTCTGAATTTAAAGACATTCCTAAATAAATATTTGGGAAATTCTCTCTAATTATTGTGGCATTAGAAGTATTTTTTTTGCAAGTCTACATGACCTGATGCAAGAGAAGTTTGGTCTGTATATAAACTAGTATCAACTGTATGAGCACAAGAAGACTGGATGCTCAAACTGCATATTTATGGAACCAAATTGTTAAATTTGCAGCTGAGTTGTCAAATGTATTACACTGAAATTATTTCTTCTGGACTAAGTTTTATAAACTGGAAAAACATGGCATTTTATCAAGTGGGCTGATAATTAATATCTGTTCTAAAAAAATAAGCTCATCTTGTAAATAATCAGTAATAGCATGTATCACTGCAATAAAATGTGTGTGTGTGTGTGTGTGTGTGTGTGTGTGTGTGTGTGTGTTTTGTCCCGCCCCAGTTCACAAAGCATCCGTCCCCATGTTTGTTTGCTGCTATCATGGCGTGTCAGTCAAACTTCATAACAATAATGCTGTCCTCAATGGCAGTGTGGTGTTTAGAGCAGCTGCCATCTCTCAGAGATAATTGTAGTGCTTGTCTGTCACAGTTTGTGATCTGAGAGAATATCATGCACAGAGTGGGGGCTAAAGTTGTCAGGTGGTTTTACGACAAGTCATGTTTATTTTCAGAATTACCCCCCATGTCAACAGGGGCAGAGCGTTATCAAGGAGAAAAATAAGAATACTAATGACTTTTAACATTACTCTAGCATTTCATTTGGAAATACCTCAAGTCATTTAGCTGTATCCGGTCATATATTATGACTCAATATAATTGCACTCCTTATTTTAATTAGTTTATGTGGACAATTGGAAATGCCAGGAAGAAGTGAAGCTCGTCTTTTTTTTGTTGCTGCTGAAATGCTCTGTGGTAGCAGAGCATTAGTGACACACAGGACTTATATAAATGTTCCTCTCTTGTTTTATGTTTGCTGAGTGGTTTGTAGTTGAACTTTAAAAAGCTTGCAGTTAAGTTGAATAGGTGTGGACCTAGCAGGGTGTGTATGTATATGTCCGCTGACACTTCTCTGCTGGAACACTGTGTGTGCCATTGATTGACCTGCAGTTGGACCCTGGGGCCGGGACTGTGCAGAGATGATTGACAGGTTTGGATTAGTAACTAAAAATCCTCTGTTCGCTTCTGGATTTACTATGTTGGTAAAGCTGAAATTTGTTTGTTATTGTTTTGCAATTAACCTTTGTACTAAAGTTTCTATGAGTTATAGACTTTGGAAAAAAAAAAAAAGATAAACAGAAATGCTGGAAAGGGCTGACAGGTGTTTACAGTGAGATATTTGTTGTCCCCCAGCACATTAAAAGAGTAAAAATGTCTTACAGAACTTCCTGCTTCTTCACCGTTTACCCTTTCTCTTTCAACGGCCAGCTATTAAACAATTACATTCATTATTTTGTCTAGGAATCAAGTTAAGGGTTCCTTAATTAATTCGGAATGATTTCAGTAATCTAGACAAACAAAAACATTAAACCTAAACTGTCAAATGTGTTTTGCTCTTTTGTTTCAGTTCCGCTATAAAAGACGCGTCTACACACAGACCTACATAGATGAAAAGCAGTTGTCTAAGCTTCACACTAAGGTAAGACCAAAAAGCTGCAGAGAATGGATGTTTTTTTCAACCATTCTGTTCAAGATATTTTATTCTGTTAAGACGCAATATTTAAAAAAAATTATGCTTTTTATATTATATAATTACAAAATGTGTGTTAAAAGTGTGGATATGATATCTGGTTTGTGTACAGAAGTTAAGTTGTAAGGAGGGCTTGTAATACTTTGCGTTACCCATGTCTTCATTGACCTGATATGCTTGGCATTACATTTTTCTCCAATTTTTCCTTATCCTGTCAGTTTTATGCAGTTTTTCCACAATAAGCAAGATTTTGGTGCTCTTAAGAGACAGTGTAAAAAATGTATTAATGTATAAATGTGCTTTACTCTGTGCACGGTCTGGCGGGGTCACACTGACCCGCGTGCGCTTTTACAAGGTTGTTGTTTTGTGTGGTTTCGGAAACTGATGGTCTGATGGGACACCCCCATCCTGCTCCATCTTTACCCCACTGCTTAACCCCACTAAGACCTACGGGAGAGTTAATGCTGATTTTCAGATAACAAGGCATTTTGCTGTACATAAGATATATCTGATATATCTGCAAGGACAGATATATGAGTAACAACAAGTCCTCTGCTGATTTTAGAAAATTTGCTGAAATATGTTTGCCACTTGAGTCAACGTGTAAGATATAAAATATTACTGATGACATTTAAAATCTCAAAAACAAGTACACTCCAATTTGCTTAGCCACACTTGCTTTGCTCTTTAAGATGAATCAAAGTATTTTCTTGCTGCTTATCTGTAATTTCATTTAGATATTTGTGTCCTGAGGGATCTTGTTAAGTTTTATTTACTTACATTAATGTGCTGCTCATCAACAGCCACATAGTAAAAGCCCTTCTCTGTATTTGATAGTTCATTCATGTGTAATTGAACTAGCCCCTTGAGGCTGTGTGAACCATTAAGAGGCTTATATAAGGACAATATGTGCTCTTCCACAAAGTTCCCTGCAATTAGATATCACATATAAATGGGACAACACTGGTTTTTGCATTAAAAATGTGAAAAACAGAGATTTGTTCTTTGGTCATCACTTCAGGAACTAAGTTGGTGCAAAACAGTGAAATCTAGAAATATCTTTTCTTTTTTTCCTCCAAAAGAGAGACTCGCATTGATTCATGACATATTTCAAACATTTTTTTTGTAATTTTGATAATTATGGCACGCAGATTTGGAGTACTTCGGCTTGTGACACTCCTGAGGTATAATGGAAGGCCAGGTTGCTTTGATAGTGGCTTTCTGCTCATCTGCATTGTTAGTTCAGGCTTTTCTCATCTTCCCTTTGACAATATCCAATTAATTTTAAGAGTATATAATTTAAATATCTTTTTATAACAACTGGTTGTCCTCCCATCACTGTAACTGTGCTCAATCTGTTGAGACTGCTCCAGTCTGCTGTCTGCAGTGACTCCCAAAAATCCAATTTCTTCTGCATATTAATATAACATATGACTTTTTCTTTTTAAAATTAGTAAAACATTTATTTTTTTTTCTTTAATTTTTCATGATGTTCTAATCTTTTGAAATCTACCTGCGGTGAGTGTCGTGATGCTTTTTTTTGTGTGTGTTAGTTCAGATATGAGCAGAGCGCAGATGGGCCAGACGGCTACAGTAATCTCTTTCTCCACATTGTAAATCTGCAGGATTTGGTTAACAGATTCGAAGGGGTAATTCTGCCAGATACTGGTTTCGACAAAGAAAGGTGGTCAGAAAGGAAAACATAGAGCAGAACGTAGACCAGCTCTTTAATTCTGTTATGAGTTTTGGACAGTCTGGCAGAGTGTGAGCATAGACCTTCCTCACACCAGACTTTTTAATTTGTCACAGTGGGAAATGCACAGATGGAATTAATAACACTAATGATGGCTTAGTTGCCTTCAGTGTCCCACTAAACCATGACTGTGAACCAGCATGCTCAAAATAAGACCTCCACTAAGTGAAATAAAGACATTTTCTGTGATTTCAGTTTCAGTCGTACTCTTACCCTTTTCTCTTTGGAGTTTGTATGTTTGTTCTCTCGCTCTCTCGCTCTGGGTCTTTTTCAGATGTTCTGCTGTTTGACCGCTCCTGAAAGCTATAAACATACAGTATAATATTGTGAGAAAGTGTTGTGGATATGCAGAGCTGTGTAATTAAATGAGAATTTGAACCCAATTTGGGCCTGAATGCATATTCATGTTGTAAGTGGGTGTGATAAGTGGAACACAGATACATTTAACTGCAAATGCATTAAACCTCATCAGATGGCCAGAGGAATTAGCATTGTGAATTTATCTAGTTGCTGTTTTTTTTGTTTTTTTTAATTGTCACAAAAACTTTGTCAGCTGGGTTTTAATCAGATATTAACCATGCTGCATATTATTCTGAAGGAAACAATAAGCAATTCATTTCTGCATTGTGTTCTAGTTTGCATGTTACTTTTCTGTCTTAATGTCATCACGTTTATCTTTCTCCTAAGGGACAAAAATCTTCATTTCTGTGCATCGACTGACTCCTCCCATTCATCTCTACAGTAAAGGGCTCGACACATGGAAGGCGATGTCGCTGTCTCTCCATTTAATAGGAACTTGTGCAATGAGGTGCCAATCATTCGCGCTCCTCCTGCCAAATTTGTGCATGTGAAATATCAAGGTCGTCCACGTAGATGTGCACACGCGTGTTTGTGATGCGACACAAGAACATTGGAAAATAATTTGTCGTCGTTGTTGCCATTGCGTGGGTTTCACCCCAGGTGACCTTTGGCCTTTTGCTGACGTTTGTCACTTCCCGTGTGTTGAGCCAGCAAGGATGAGTGAATTCTTGCATCAGTTACTTGCCAGGCGCATGGTGTGATATTCAGGGTTGTGATATTTAGATAAACAAGAGATATAAACAAATCCGTTTAAAAATCTGTTTCATTTTCAGTTTAATGAGGTCCATGTTTGTCACTCATAAAATGAGGATATGCTGTATTCTGTCTGTATCACCTTTAAGTATTTGTGATTGGTCTGTAATTTGCAATTTGAGTTCGTAATACGTTAGCTAACCAAAACAACTTCTCTTCCTCTGACTTCAAATCAGTGAAGCTTTTCCTCTAATAATAATTTACAAGAACACATTAAAACAAATATCCTGGATGTATTGTTCCATAGATGACAAATTATTTCTGAAGTGAGTTTTATTCATAATACAAAAAAGTAGCCTAAAACTATTTAATTGTTTCCACGTGAACCAATGCTTGTGTGAAAGTTTCTCATTTATTATCAAAACTGTGGAGCCCTGTTATTTATTTTATTTTCCAATTTCGGATTCTTCTCCCCTGCAGCACTGTTGTTTCACTCAGCCGCCTTTTATTTCTGCACAATTCAGTCAAAGTCGGTCACATAAACATGCTGTGGCAAACACAGGAAGTCAGGAGGCAGGGATTGTTTTTTTTTAAGTGCAAACTCGCCGTTTCAACTTTATTAACAGCTTCAGCAGTAACTTTGGCCACTAATTTTAACTGGATTCTCGCTCATGGTGCCTCAGCACTGTCCACATCCATTGCCAGACAGTCAGCTAAATACAGACTGGTAATCTCTGTGTTCACAGAGACTGCATGTACTATAAGCCCTGCCGCTCAACACATCGACATAAACAATTCTCTAAATCCTTGCACTAATGACCACAGAAAATAACATTTTGAAATATATGATGAATTTCTAAAACAAATCATGAACTTTGCAACAACTGACTAGCTAAGAACTTTGTCTGATTGAAACATATTTTGGGTAATTATAAATTATTCAAAAAATGACTGATCAGATGAGTGATTTCCTCATTGTATATTCCTGACCAGTGGATCTGTGCTGTGCACTTCAGATAAAGGATTCAGTGGGAAACAGTGAGAAATGCTGAATGAGACAGAGACAGAAGAGCAACGAGAAAGGGATGAGTCATGCTCTCAAATATTGCTCTTGTCTAACCGTTCTAGTGAGACCTGCTTCTGCCTTCTCCTGTTCTACTTTGATTTGTCAAAGAGTGAATGAGTGAGTGGTACTGAAGTGACTTACACAAAAATAGATCAGCTACTGCCACTAGGGATTTCATGGAATAAGCAAATCATACATTTAGATAACATTTGGTGTTATCTATGTTTCTCTCAGGTCAGTTGCAGTAGAACAAGTAAAGCATTCAAGATATCTCTGCATCTGATACTACCCTGCAGAGTAAAAGCATAAATGAGTGAGTGGTGTTTGGGGGTAATTATGAAAGAAGTTATCTGGGAAAACATCCTTTCTTTGGAGAGTCATAGTGAACAATTACCTGTGAAAATAATAGTATTTTATCTTAGCAGACTGTGTAAAAGTAGGATAAGGATTTAGACCAGCATTGATCCTGCAGACTTTGTCAAACATGAGATTCCCTGCAAATCAAATACTGAAAAAGACGGAGAACTTTGTTGCAGTTGTCATCAATCATGCATGTTTAAGATCCGCATTTCTTGCCCCAGGCTTTGCTAATATTTAACAAACATTGGTTTTACAATGCAGGTCTGCTGTTTCCCTATTCCTTTAGTTTTTTTTTAAGCACATTTTATTTTGTGCAGTAATAGAATAAACAGTGAAGAGTGAAAACTTGTTTTAGCCATTGCAGCTACTGTCCTCACTGTTCATCCCACAACATGCTGTCATGTAAGTCAGAGGTGAAGCATTAGCCTACTTTGCTACCATGGTGTTCATTAGCTTCAGGCTAAACTTTAAAATTAGGTCATAGTTGTTAGGAATTTGCCATTCATTTTTTTATCTTTGCCTGACTGAACCAGACCTCGTCACTATGTTACTGTCCTGGTTAGCCATGCATGGTAACTACATGGGAAATTTCCATAGTATGCTTTCAGGAACAACAGAGTGCATGTGTGCAAGTGATTATATTGCTAATCATGTAGGCTGGGCCTATAAAATAGATGGCTTTCTGACTATGCAATAAAAAACTAATTCAGCAAAGTG